TCTAACAGCTCCCCTGAATGTGTCATTCTGGCATTGTAAAGTGCTGTTACTTTTACAAAAAGCTCAGGAACTTCCCATGATGAAGAAGAGCACTTTATAATATCAGAGCAGCCATGGGAGCCCTCACATAACAGCATTTTACTAAGATTTTTAACACCTTGTGATTGTACCTACAAGTAGAGTCAGTGAAATCAGCTTTCTTGTGATTTAAGAAATACTCCAACGTACAGTGCATTCATTATTTGTTATTGATGAAAATACTGAAATTCAAAGTTCAGGTTAGACTATAAGTCTGAGACCCACCAGAGAACATGTAATTGGGGCTGAATTTCAAGATCAAAACATTGTAATCACCTCGCCCCACTTCCCTCCCATCAAAAGAATTCATAGGAAACTCCATGAAGGCCAATTCCCAGAGCTCTTCTTCCCCCTAGGTTCCTGTCAGACACGATTTCCTTCCCCCCCATTTTATACTCCCATCATGTACCTTTGTGTTTCAGACCTTTATAGAATGCATCTAATGCAGGGCGGGGCAATACTTTTTGACTGGGTGCCACTTCTGAAATTTTTAAAGTGGCCACGGACCACCCTGGAAGTGGAAGGATCTCAGGTGGAAGGGGCGGGACTAGGACACTTCTGTCCTTCCCTGCCCACAGACCCTGATTAGTCTGGGGGCAGGGAGCGTGTGAAGGCTTTGCCCCTGCCCTTCCCCCAAAAAAGAACCACCAGCTGCTCTGAACAGCTGGCGATTCCCTCTAGGCGTCCGCGCCCCTGGTGGTAGGAGGAGACTTTCCGTGCTCCTCCTCCTGCCCCAAGTCAATCAGAGCCTGGGGGCAGGGGGAACACATGAAGTCTGCCCCCACCCTGCAAGGGAGTGCTGCACTTACAGTCACCCACCTGCTGAGCAGCAGCTGGCAGTTGACTCTAAGTGCTGAGCCCCTTGCAGAGTGGGAGGAGACTTTGCACACTCTCCCCAGCCCTAGGCCTATCAGGGCTTGGGGGGAGGGGACTGTGTGAAGTCTCCTCTGGCCCTGCCCCTGTCCTGCAAGGAGCAGGGTGAGAGGAGACTTTGTGCAGCTGGGGGTAGGGTTAGTGCCAAGTATCTTGCTCCCTGCCCTCCTGCACACAGCACTTAACCACCAGGGTTGACTCATAGCATTTCACGCTCCCCCGTCGCTAGGCCCTGATTGGCCAGGAGGTGGTAGAATGGCAGGACCTCTGCAGGCCAGATCAACCTGCTTGGCAGGCTGGATCCGGCCAGCAGAGGCCCTTTTGCCCACCCCTGATCTAACAGCTCCCCTGAATGTGTCATTCTGGCATTGTAAAGTGCTGTTACTTTTACAAAAAGCTCAGGAACTTCCCATGATGAAGAAGAGCACTTTATAATATCAGAGCAGCCATGGGAGCCCTCACATAACAGCATTTTACTAAGATTTTTAACACCTTGTGATTGTACCTACAAGTAGAGTCAGTGAAATCAGCTTTCTTGTGATTTAAGAAATACTCCAACGTACAGTGCATTCATTATTTGTTATTGATGAAAATACTGAAATTCAAAGTTCAGGTTAGACTATAAGTCTGAGACCCACCAGAGAACATGTAATTGGGGCTGAATTTCAAGATCAAAATATGGATTTGGGGGAAAATGGCAATTTCCATTTCCATTAAACATTTATAAATTTGAAAAACTATAGGTTATTCCTACAGCTGTATAATTTGGGTGGGTCTAGACTACATCCCTCTTTCGACAGTGGGATGTAAATTAGACAATTTGAAATTGCAAATGAAGCTGGGCTTTGAATTTCTTGCACTTCATTAGCATAATCATGTCATGGTGCTCTTTCGAAAAAGCGCACTTCATTAGCATAATCACGTCATGGTGCTCTTTCGAAAAAGCTCTATTTCGAAATTGAAACTGCAGTCTAGATGTGGTTCTTTCAAAAATAGAAGCCTTTTTCGAAAGATCCTGTAAACTTGAGGATCTAGTTTCAAAAGGCTTCTATTTTTGAAAGAACCGCATCTAGACTACGGTTTCAATTTCAAAATAGCGCTTTTTCGAAAGAGCGCCATGACGTGATTATGCAAATGAAGCGTGGGAAATTCAAATCCTGGCTTCATTTGCAATTTCGAAATGTCTAATTTACATCCTTCTGTCGAAGAGGGATATAGTCTGGACACACCCTTTGTGTTGATATGTGTTATAAGACAAAAGACTGAATTCGTAGTCTGGACACGCCCTTTGTGTTATGTGTTATAAGACAAAAGACTGAATTCTTTCCTCTCATGTGCTGGTTTCACTGCTGTGAAACTGTGACTTGACTTCAATGGATTAACTCCTGAATCTGATTAGTGTAAATTATAGAAATATCAGTCCTAATGGAATGCCCTGATGCAAAATATATATGTGGGAGATAAGAACATAAGAACGGCCATACGGGGTCAGATCAAAGGTCCATCCAGCCCAGTAGCCTGTCTGCCAACAGTGGCCAATGCCAGGTACCCCAGAGGGAAAAACAGGAACAGTTAATGATGAAGCCATCGCTGTCCTGCCATCCATCTCCACCCTCTAACAAACAGAGGCTAGGGATACCATTACTACCCATCCTGGCTAATAGCCATTGATGGACTTAACCTGTACAATTTAGAAATATCTAAAATGTGGATATAAATCTGAAATTTAGCCAGATGAATCCAGGTAAGCAGGGCCAGATTAATGCAGCTCAGGGCCTCAGGCAAATCTCTGCACTGTGGGCCAGACATAGGTCCCTGAGGCTTGGCTTCCCTCCCTTCCATGGAGCTGGAGCTACAAGCACCAACTCACTAGTATGCGCCTGCAGCCCCTAGGTGAAAGGCATTCAGGGAATCGGTGTGTTGCATCTTCCCCCAGAACCAGTTCCACAACTCCCATTGGCCAGGAGCTGCAGCCAATGAACCTGAGGCTTGGCTTCCCTCCCTCCCATGGGGTGGAGCTACAAGCACCAACTCACTAGTATGTGCCTGCAGCCCCTAGGTAAAAGGCATTCAGGGAATCTGTGTGTTGCATCTTCCCCCAGAACCAGTTCCACAACTCCCATTGGCCAGGAGCTGCAGCCAATGAGAGCTGTAGGGGTGATGCTTGTGGGCATGGGCAGTATGCACTGCATAGAATAGCCTGGCCCCTCCACTTAGGGGTGAGCCATGTTGGCCACCTCAGGAAGCAGAGCAGTGCAGAGCCAGGGCAGGCAGGGAACCTGCCTTAGTCCTGCTGTACCACTGACCAGCAGTGGAACAGCATTGAGGTACCAAGGTAAGTGCCTCCCAGCTGGAGCCTGCACCCACACTCCCTCCCAAACCATACACCCTCACCTGCTTCCTAATCCCCTGTCCCAGCCCTGAGCCCCCTCCGTACACCCTCACCTGCTTCTTAATCCCCTGTCCCAGCCCTGAGCCCCCTCCCACATCCAAACTCTCTCCCAGAGCCTGCACTCTGAACCGCCTGCTGCACCCAATACCAGAGCCCACCCCTCCAGCTGGAGCTGCACCCCTTCCCAAACCCCAGCCTTGAGCCCCTAGGGTTTCCAAAAAAAAAAAAAATCTAATAACCTCAAGCCCAAAGGAGAGTTAATCTAGCCCCACAGACCAGAATACAATTGGCAAAGTAAAACATTTTAAAAGTCTGTCCTCTTTCTTACATCTCTATATCACACAGTTTGGCCATAGTTCTACAAAGCACTGAAGCACTTGTTTAACTTTCTTTAAGGATATGCTTAAATCTAATTGCAGTGAATGGAAAAACAACACATGCTAATGTGCATTGAGGAATAAGGACCCCAAACTGCAGTGCCATTATTTGAATAGAAAACTTCCTTCCATGAAAAAGAAAACTACATGAATCAAAACCTGAGCAAGATAAATGACCTTGCTTTGCATGTACTCTGATGAAGAGGCACCTGCTTTACTTTTTACCATAGTAAAGCAGTGACTTTTTTTTAAATTAAAAAGGGTTGGCAATCCTCATGACTGAATGTTTCTCCTTTTTATTTTAAATAGAAATTCTTACCATCAGCCCTAAGTATTGGAACAAAGGGGGTAGGTGGAGCTACTCCATCATATACAGAGTTTATGGCAGGGGGCTCAAATTTGGGCCCATGCGCCATTCCTGGCTGGAGCGATTGTGCAGTCTGACCCAGGACTTCTGGTGGACAGGGATGGACCTGTTTGTTACTGTCCCCCAAGCTCCACTCCTTTCTGCCATCTCCCAACCTTCTCCCTCCCATAGCATCCCATGCCTGAGGGCTCAGCTTCGGGGATCACCTGAGGGGCCTGCTGCCCATCCCCCGGCATGCTGGTAATCCTGCTCCAGATTGCAAAATCACTCCAGTAGGTGATGGCCCCCCAGGCCATGAGTTATGAGATCCCTGGTTTACAGTTTGGTTCAATGGCTTTCAGCACTTCCACTATAAAAATTGTTCTGCACCCCTGCCATTAGCCTACATAAACCCCAGGAAAAAATAATAAGGTTCTTGCAGTTGATTCTCCTCACAAACGTCTCATTGAAATTAATGGGAGTTGTGAGTAAAGATGGCTTGCAAGAGCAGATCCCAAAGATGAAGAAACAGGTTTAAAATGGATAATACTATTGGGCATGCAGATAATCACTTTTCAGCTGTACACACAAACATGCTATGCAAAAGCAGGTAAGTGTAATTATTCCCCATGTTCCAGATGGGGAAACCAAAGCACAAAGGGTGAAATTCTGGCACTGGTGAATTCAATGGGAGCTTTGCTATTGACTTGAATGGGACTAGGAGTTCTCCCAAAGCAAGCTGAATTGTCTAAGGTCACACTGCAAGTCAGTTGTAGAACCAAGTAGGTATAAAACCCAAATCTTATTCTCAGTCCAGTGCCCTGCCCACTGGTGAGATAGATATGTGACACATTCATGATTATTAGGAGTTGATTCTTTTTGAAGCAGAAAAAAATCTTTATTTTACAAACTTTTTTTCCTCTTTTATTTTCAGGCGCCAAATGGTCTTCCAGCGGTCAGTGGTTTTGTCTCAGCACCAACGATGGCCCCTTACCCTACAGCAGCTCAGGTGTCACCTTATATGACATACAGTGCAGCCCCTTCTGGTTATGTAACAGGCCATGGTTGGCAGCATGCTGGAGGGACTCCGCTCTCCCCTCACAACTGTGATATTCCTGCATCGCTGGCATTCAAGGGCATGCAGACAGCCCGAGAAGGTAGTCACTCTGTCACAGCCTCTGCTCTCTGATATAAAAATCATCCTAGAAAAAAACTCAACCTTTTTCATCCCCTCCTTGGCTCAGAGACTGAACTTTTGTGTTGGTGACATTTACAGATTTCTCCCCCTGACCTTTCTCCCACAAAATCTTTGGACTGAACTAGTGAAAACAACAAAAGAAGTTGATCCATGGGTTTTTGCCCATGCACTGTTTGAACTAAAGAAGATGATGCATCCCTCAAAGGGCTGATGGAACTGTAGTCTGACTATTCATTGGTAAAACCACCCGTATTTATTCTTAATCAACAAGAACTCTTTAAACGTGCAATTGTCATTGAGATTGTATAAAATCAATAAAGAACAATCAATAGGGAAAGTTATGCTATGCTTCTAATCAACAAAAGTGGCCAAACAGAGGTTATTTGCTAATGATCTGTCTCTAGAGAACAAATCCTTTATCGACAAGGTTAAGTGATCCACTGTTATTGCTAAGATATTGCTTTTTTTGCTTGTTTATGAAATATAGAGCCAAGACAATATGCGGCTCTCACACTCTTCCTGTATTTCATCCTGTTACAAAACCAGTAACATGTTTGTATTTTCTATCTGTTTGTAAATATAAGCTTTAGACAGCATTTGTGTTTCCATGCCACAGTACATTTCTGCGTCTTTTTGGACGTTAAAAGTGACTTTGTAGGTCATTTCTGTTTTTTGGTTAGTGGTGGCAAAAGTCTCAGGTGACTGAGGATTAGGCAGTTCTTTTGTCATGTTTTGTGCATACAGTGGAGGCTTCTACATCTTAAAGATATTTTGTTTCTTCAGTTGAGGACTCAAAGGCAAATGACCAAATAAATTCTCCCAGGTCAAACCCATCTCCCAGAGTCATGACACAACCACACATATGCCCAGGGTACAAAAGAGATGTAGGTGGAAAATAGCTGAACAAATATAAGAACTGTAGAGGAAAGTGATTTAGAAGCCTAAGTGTAATGTGAAACTTGTGCAGAGACACTTAAAAAGTCAAATTAAGTTAACAAAACCACTGTGAAACCAAACTGTACTGTCATTGTTGGCTTACCTGTGTTCAGCAATTTCAGCTCCAGGATTATGTTGTAATTTTTTGAAAAGAAAAATTGGTCTTAAAATGTCTGGTTTAATGAATGTAAAAATGGCTCCCGTTAAAGTTTACATTGTTGTGTATAAACATGCTTCACTCATAGGTTTGCTGGTGGCGGGGTGACAAATACATGTTTATTTAATGTTAAACTCCCTTTTGGCATTTTTGTAGCTACTGGCAAGCATTCTGTCCCAGTCATTTTGCTTTAAACTTTTCAACTTGACATTAATTCCCCCAAAGTTAATTGTTTTGGCCTTTTCAAACTTACCTGCTTTCCAAGGGCAATAATAAAGTTCTGAATATTACTCCAAAAACGTCTTCCACATGCTTCCAGACATGTGTGGAACACATGCATGAAAGATTTGAAAATTGGTGTGACATTCCATATCATTAATATAATATTAATATATTGTGTACATTTATAATTCTTGTGCAATACCTTAAAAGAACATCATTAGATATACTTTAAAAGACTGCATGAATTACATCATCTTGATTTCTTCTTAGCTATATTAGACGTTGCTTCAATGGCGTGATAAAATCCAGTACCTACTATGGGAATTTCATGCTTTTATTTATAACTCAGATGGCCATAGGCAGATTTCCATGGCACTGTAAAGGAAATAATGAGTAAACAGCTACATATGTCTTATGATCTGCAGTTCTACACAGAGGTACATAATATGACGAGTTCATTAACTTCAGTGGGATTGTTCATGGTCTGTCAGTCTTTGCAGGATTGGCACTTAACCAGCAGCTTGCAACTTAATGGGAAGCTTTTAAAAAAATGTATTTCTATGGTAACCATTTGTAATTTCATAAACAGAATAAAGACTCCAGATCAGGAATAATCAGCCAGTCAGATGGACTCTAAGGACTGTATTTACCTTTGATCTTTTTATAAAATATCAACTGAATCATCAGGACTTGTACACAGAGAACAGAGTTATAGCTTAGTGTGAACGAAACAAAGATTCTAGAATTCAGCAAAATGCCCACTGACCTAGGCCTCAATTCAGCAAAGGATTTCCATAGTTGTTTAACAATGTGCATCAATCCATCTCTATTCAGTAAAGCACTTGACCTCACATTTCATTTTAAGTACATAATTAAGGCCCACTAAAGGCAATGGGATTTAAGCATGTTCTTAAGTACTTTGTTGAGTTGAAGGACTTGATTCTGCTCTTTTACGTTAGTAAAAGTCTAGTGGCTTCAATGGAGTCAGTCCATATTTATGCCATTGTAGCTCAGATCAGAATGTGGTTCAGAGATCCTTAATTCCATGCTAAAGATAATGATGAACTAATTCCAGGCAAACTCCCTATTAAAAACTACAAGGGAGAAGGAAAAAATAGGGGGAAATGATGAATAAATGATTCTGTTGGCAACATGTGATATTTTCCAAGTTTATTTTTAACTTTTAAACTAATTCTTAGACAAGATACTATAAACTTTGGATTTTAAGAAGCCCATCTCTAATCCGCAACATACGATCACAAATCTAAGCCTTCCAGAACTACAGCTTTTCTATCGCAAAGCACTAACCTGTCTATGATAAAAATGCCCATTTCAAAAGGTTGGTTCTCTTCCTTTTCCAGTCCACAGATGCTGGCACAATTGAAATAAGAGTCTGCTTTCCTGTGGCTCCCATGAGGCATGAATGTGTCTTTAAATTATATTTAAAGGGTCAGATGTTCAACTGCTTGAGGATATGGCCTAAAATAATTAATCTGTGTATAGAAATGTAACTTAATGCCAAACTTTGTTTCCTTTATCTGCATGCCTTTGTTTAGGGCCAACTCTCAGTACATTTACTCACAGTGACTAATACCTTCCTCCATGAGTGGTAAGTCAGTAGGATAGGTGTGGAGTGAGACGAAACTCACTAAGATGAGCAAAGGTATCTCACGTTGATTCTTACTGAGCTATTTATAACTGCTTCTTGGGAGGGGCTGGAGGTTAACATTGGTTTTTAGTGTAAAATTACCATGCAGAATTTTCTGTCGTCCAAAGACTTTTCTAACAGAATATACATTTGGGTTAAACTGAAAGACTGTATATGTTAGCTTAATGACCTAACACATTTAAATTACTTTATTTTAAGGGTAAATGTGTCAGCGTCTGTTCTCAGTTGCATAGATGTAAATCTAGAGTAATCCCAGTGAAATCAGTGGAGATAATTTGGATTTACATCAGCATAAATGACTATCTCTAATAGTCAACAATGTTTTTTCACACTGTGCAAATGGGCTCAATCCTGCATTCTAAAAGTACCCAAAGCTTTAAAAGTCAATGAGATTTGATACTCATTTATATTATGCTTCCAGAGTGAGGATGTAAAATGTCCTTAGTGTAAATAAGAATTAAGCTTGGACCACCAAGAATAGTGAGGGCTTGAAGAAGTAAAAAGACACATTTTAAAAAAAAAGATTCCACATTTTCTGCTAATGGTCCTCATTTTATCTAAAGATCAGGCTAAACTATAATTAAAACTAATAAATCATATTGGAAAGGATATACAACAGAAGGCTGTTTATGTATATACTGAATGTTAAAAGCCTTTTATTTTTATATTTTGAATGCTCTTAAGTTAATAAAAGAATAATTATAAGGTATTTTGTTTTTCTTTTTTCAAAATGTTTCAAACACTTATCTCTTACACTTCATAAGGGTTGATAGTAAAATGATCAATTGAGGAATGCTTGCCCGGGAGTTATGTTCCATTTTGTAATTTTAATAGATCTAATTTTGTGGGGTTTAGCTCCTGAAAAGACACAGCTTTGATATATCAGTGTAGTCAAACCAAGACAAAGAGACATTTTCTGTGTGTATGTCAGTACAAGAATGCTTTAAATCAGAGCTACTCAACTTTGGAAGCCTTGGGGGGCCACAGTGATAATCTCAGCACATGCCAAGGGCTGCAACTTAAGTGTGGTTGCATATACAGTACATGCAAATATATATGCAAATAGCTTTTCACACTGACAGGCATGAATACAAAGATTAAGGCAAGACTACACAACACACAGACCCCATTTAAGTTAATTCTGCTGAAATTAATACAACGCAATATTTACCAGATTTCCACCCATATGACAGCACTTTTAATGAGCAATGACAGTCCAGGAATTTAACTACTAAAATGCATCACAACAGAAGACTATTACATGGACTACTTTTTTGTTTTGGCTCCCACCTGCGGGCTGCAAGCAAATGGGCTGCAGGCCGCATGTGGCCCATGCACCGTGTATTGAGTAGCCCTGCTTTAAATGCTGAGAATGCATTTCTAGTCTAACTTTTTTCTTTTAAGAATGCATTAAAAAAAGCATTGCAGACACCAGACTTCACACCTGATTTGTCATTTAAAAATAATCTGGAAAGATATTTTTCTAGGACTGCAGAAGGAAAAAAAAATCCTCTCTAGTAAGTATCTAGGAGGAAGCACATCTAATGTTATCCAGTATAAATAAAGTATATAGTGATAAAATAAATATTTCAACCACTTCAAAATACATAGGTAATAGCCAGCAAAACTGGACTAGATAAAGGTAACTGTTTATTGTGAAAGAAATACAGCTCTTCTAGCATTTTAAAAAAGACAGGACTTGAACATCAACAGATTGGTGTACAGTACATGAAATTAAATTTGTTTTCAATAAGCATGATAGAAATTTAGTACATCCTATTTCAAATGGCAATTCAAAACAGAAAATTAAGATAACATATCTGAAATATGAGCTAAGGTTATACTGAATATCTGTGAAAGCAAACATGTTTCATTTAATAACAACATGAAGTATTTATTTTTCAGAAAGGCTTATGGTTATCTAATTAAGATTGCATATGGGATATCAGTATAGAACAGTGTTTCTTAACCCCAAGAGGGTCAAAATAGGCAATCAGGGTGGTCCTGAGGTGATGAAAATTTTATTATAATCTAAAGAAAATCTTGCTCCCTCACTCCTGACCCTCCTTTCTCTTCAAGGTCAAGTATTCTCTGTCAAGTTCTTGAAACACACATATGCATACAGACATTCACACAAACTAGGAAGGTTTCTTGATATATTTTTATTTTCACATTTACGGCCAATGAAAGTGTGTTCCTGGTCATTTTTGTCTTGTATCTTTTTATTTGATTTTTAAAATCTGGAAATAAAACCAAAGGCAAAATGTTGGCCCCATTGAAATCAATGGGAATTTTGTCACTGACTTCAGTGGAACTAAGACTTCACCTCTGAAAATTTTTGTGCAGTTTTCAAATGTTTACAGTTGGGCAGGACTCAATGGGACTACTTGTGTGAGTAACTGCTCACAAAGTGAGTTCACATTCTGCCTGTGTATGTCCAAAATGAATTAAATTGTCTGGTGGTTTATGTATTTGTCTACTTCTGTGATGTCTACGGTGGATGTACACTTTTATGTGAGGACAGAATTTTGGTCAATTGAATTATGTTCATAATTTTTCTGTGACCTGTTAGAAGTAAGGATACTATTCAATGGCTACATCTAGACTGGCATGGTTTTCCGCAAATGCTTTTAATGGAAAAGTTTTCCGTTAAAAGCATTTGCAGAAAAGAGCGTCTAGATTGGCACGGATGCTTTTCCGCAAAAGCACGTTTTGCGGAAAAGTGTCTGTGCCAATCTAGACGAGGTTTTGCACAAGAAAGCCCCAATCGCCATTTTCGCGATCGGGGCTTTTTTGCGCAAAACAATACCGCATTGTCTACACTGGCCCTCTTGCACAAAAGCATTTGCGCAAGAGGGCTTTTGCCCGAATGGGAGCAGCATAGCATTTCCGCAAGAACACTGACAATCTTACATGAGATCGTCAGTGTTCTTGCGGAAATTCAAGTGGCCATTGTAGACAGCTGGCAAGTTTTTCTGCAAAAGCATGTGCTTTTGCGGAAAAACTTGCCAGTCTAGACACAGCCCCCAATGTGTAACTGAATGTTTGACAGGAGGATATTATTTGATGTATGGAGGCAATCTTGGTATCCCTTTCCAAGCATCACTCCCGTACTGTGTTAGAACTGTATGACAAGACCCAGGATTTACTTTGGATTTGTAAAGCATCCTCATTCTGAAAGTCAATGGAGCCATGACAATTTACACCAGTGTAAGAGCTGGTCCTGCATGATTAAGGCACTTCTCTTGCTGAAGAAATGTCACCTGACATTTTAACAATCACTAGTTACATAACTGATGTATTGACTAAGTGACATAATTAATTGCTCACTACACTGAGTTTTGTTCTTGACAAATTAACTTATTCCTGTGTTACCTTTATATTTTTTCTTGATCTTTAGAGTCCTGATCCAGCAATGTAAATAAGCATATTGGTGTTTAAAGCTAAGCCAGTGCCTACGTTCAATGCTGGATCAGGGCCATAGTGCCCAATCCTGCAAACTGATGCATATCTTCAATTCCCATTCATATAAAAAGATCTGTAGCATGAGCGCCCCTCATATTTTACTTTACTTATTTATGTCCTTCACATCACAACACACTTAATCAGGGTCATCATTTGAAACAGTATATTCTTTTAGAAGCAGTACTTCCGATTACCAGTTCTCCTGAAGCCACGCATAAGCATATTCATAAACTAAAAGCATCACTGCACCACCTAGAAAAGAGGACATTATCTTAAATATTAAATTAGATCCTTTTTGCATCACAAAGAGTCATTTCTCCTATATTGAAATTGTAAACTGAAATATAATGAAACTGCATTAGCAAAAACTCTCTGGATTCTACCAAACCATCAGTTCTTAAACTATACAAACTTTACCCGTGCATTAGGAGAGAAAATTAATGTGAAATGCTTGTAAATTGAATCAAGAGCACCTTTACTTTTAAATGCAACTTTATTACATATTTTTCATATTTTGTTCTAAATACTTCAGCACTTTAAAATATTTTTAGTCATAGTATCAACAAAAATATTGATCTGTGAAAAATACATATTTGGATATGAAAAGAATTAAATTGGCACAATTCCTCACCAGAACTGTGTAAATCCTTGCCAGATTTCATTCAAAAGGCTAATCAAATGTTTGAAATTTGAGTTGGATGGTTTCACAGGCCCTGAAGTTTGGAAATCATGATTTTAGAATTGAATATAGTCTTCCCACAGTTATAGCTCATTGTGAATCCACAGGCAAAATTTGAAGTTGATGGATTGATACTGGTAGAATCAAAAGTGTGACTAAGCCTCAGCTCTAGTACAACAAGGGAACTCTGATCTAAGAGAAACTAGAGTACCAGTCTAAGCCTAAGATATAATTAGTATGCACGTTAAATAAATAGAACCAACACCTTTTCTAACAAGGGCAATTTTCAGAAGGTATATATAGGCCTCTGCCTAGAATATGAAGAGGCTTATACATTGGGGGAAATTATGAAGATACTTGAGAGATTCTTTCCAGTACAAGTAAATGTAGCACAATCTCTATGATAATAGTGGAGTAGGGCACACATGCTTTTCATTTTCCCCTAATTTTGGATCAGATTGCTCAGTTAGAATGCTGCAAAACAAATAAAAACATCTTTTCCTGGACAGAGCTGACCTGTCTGTTCTTATTGGATAGGCTTAGACATTCAACCCTGGTCTACAGTAAGGCGTTATTTCAAAATAACTCCTCTTATTTTGAAATAACAAGTGGGGCATCCACACTACCAAGCCCGTTATTTTGAAATAAAGGGCTGGTTATTTCAGGATAATAACTTCTGCTTTCCAGGAGGATTAACATTTATTTCAAAATAGTTATTTTGAAACAGCGGCAGTGTGGACACAGCGCTGCTGTTATTTAGAAATAGCTACTCTCCAGAGTCATTCAGAGAAATTATTCCCCAGTGGTTCCTGGGGGCTAAGTCGAGGTAGCGTGTCCACATTAAGGGAGCCCGCCTTGTATTAATTTCGAGGCTTCCCTGTAGTTGTGCACATGCTATTTTGAAATAATCATTTTGAGAGTTATTGTTTCAAAATAAGTTATTTGGAAATATTTTCCTAGTGTAGACATGCCCTCAGGGACACAGAAATATCATGTGCCTTGTCACTCGTGACTTATCCCAGAAAACCATGCTCAGACTTGAAATATACTACAAATAGCAGCTTAATAAAATTCACAGATAGCCAGACAGAGGGGAAAAATGAAGAATCATGAAAGGTTTTCACAGACAGTCTGGCAAGGCCTTTGCAGACAGACTTAACCTCACACCAGGGTTGATTTCAAGTCCTTAGATAGTGTGAGTTTTTTGAATAGCTCTTATTCAGACTCTTTATGTTGTAGACGGACTTACCTTTTCATCCACAATTAAAATTGTTTTCTTACTCAGGCAGCAAAATCAAACATAATAGTCAATGGGACTATTCATGGGTTGGAAGTTAAGCACATATTCACTTATTTTGCTGGATCTGGGACAGAGTGCCCAGCACCTTTTGGGGTCAAGTCCTTGCTTATACATTTTGACATGCTGGCTGGGACAAGGAAAGTGGGGATCATCCTTCTCCCTGCTGCCTGATGGGGCATTAGGAAGGAGAAGTCTGTGTGTTCTTTGGATTGTGTTTGGATTCCCTATGCTCCATTCTTCTCTGAAACTGCACAAAGGCCAGGCACAGTCTAGCTCTTGGCCGGGGAAAATCATTTACAGGAACACACAATCATTTACAAGAAAACTGCATACTTTTTCTATAATGAAAACACTAAATGTAGGAAGAACAGATACTGTTAACAGGCGCAATTGGCTTTTAAATCCATGGAGCCTTGCCTGCTAAACCACCTACTCCAATGGGAGACACTTATTTACTTGGAAATAAGATTCTGATCTGTTTCGGGTACCTGCTCTCTCAACCATGCAGTGGCCACTTGGAATGACAAAACTCAAAAGGCCCTACCTAAGTCTTTTCTTTCATATGCTCTGTTTCCCATTGTCCCTTAAGGGCACTTGAAGCAGAAAATAACCAGAGTATGGTGCACATTGGTTCTGACCTGATATGCTTCTGATTCACCCCCCATGCTGGCCTGGTGTAGAGTCATTATGCCAATAGTCAGAGGCTCCCAACACAAAGACTGTTCTCAGGAGGCTATTAACACCCACTTTAAGGCACCTTTAAACTGCTAAAGAACTTAAGTGGGCTCCATGTAACAGAATCAGGTCCAAATGGTGAGGGACTAACTGACTGTTCCTTGAAGTATACGCTTAAAACGGCTTAAAAAGTGTGCCTGAAAAACATGTGGACACATCGATTCACATGTACAATCCCTCCTTGCCTCATGATTTGTTCACAGATCATGCATCTGCATGACCAGTAGGTAGATGGGTGCACAGTATTCCAATTTAGACATGCAAATTCACAGGCAAATTTAGCTCAACAAATTCAAAATATTTGTTTTCAAAATAAATACACAAATTTAAGATTAAGGAACAGATTTATATATAGTCTTTCATTTATTTGTCATCTGAGGAAGAGGGGTGTGCCCACAAAAGTTCATGACACCATCTACATGTTTTCTTAATCTTTAAGGTGCTACTAGACTATTTGTTGTTTTTTAAGTTTTTCCTGTTACAGACTAAATCGGCTACCCTTCTGATTAATTTATTTTATCGGATTTATTGGGTCTTAAATGTAAATGTCATCAAGAAATAGAAACCAAGAATAAAGGAAAGCCAAAGATAATGGAGGCAACATTACCTGGGCCAAGTCTCATGATCTTGGGAACAAACCCTTTGTACAAAGCCAGAAAACTGTAGCAGAAAGAAAACAAGTTTCAAGCAACATTATTTTTCTACAAAGAAAATGGATTTTTACCTTATGTTTGCTAAGATGCTGGCATAGCACTTACAAGCAATTATTTGGAATTACACATTTTCAATAGCAGACAGTATCTGGATTTTAACATTTTACAGAGGCAGATGAGATGAAGAGAAAAAAAATTAATCAATGTTAAGTTACAAAAGCTATGCTGTGATCCCAGCCAATCAAAAACATGACTTTAATCAGTGAGCTGGTTTTTACTCTCAGGACAAGTCTGTTAACAACAGCTGCATTACATGGATAAAATGACTGCTATAATTGAATATCAAAGCTACAACTCATTGCTCACTTGAGAAATATTTAAAAAGTTGGAGAAAGTTATTGCCAAAAGGTTCTGTCCTCTATTCACTCATTTCAGCAATCTTTCAACAAACAGCTGTATGCATACACTGCAAGTAGAGATTCTAACCATAAAACAGTTTGTTGTTCTATTGCTATTTTGCATCTGCAAGGTGAAGAGTCTGTTTTATTGTTACCAAGCAAAAATGCTCTGCTTGAAATGTATTGGGAATTTATTTGTGGGGCATACATTTTAACAATATAACAATAAATTTTGCAACTATTAAAAATAAAAAGCCTCCTTTGTAAATTTAAAATACATCTCTAAAATGTTACATTGCACTCCTTTGACACACAAGTACAGGGTGGTTTCATCTCATCTAATTTGGGTTATTACAACATAGTTTATGGACCCAAATGAACTAAAACACAGAGGCCTGGACATTTTAATGAAATAAGAATGTTTTACCCTTCTTCTTTATAGACCGTAGCCATAGTTTTAAAACAGGTTCTATACTTGATCTCTCCAGGAACTGGCTGTGGCCCTTGAATCCGACTTTTTGCAACATCAAAAGGGATATTAATAATTGAGGCTATTGTCCCTGAGACTAGCCCAATTCCAAATTTTCTCAGAAACTCCAAAGTTGGATCCTAAGAAGAAAGAAAAAAAGAATGAATGGAAAAGGAAACGGAAGCGCCTAAATAGGTTAAACACTACAAAGTAATATGCATTTAATCAGAAAACTTGCACAACACGACACACTCATGTTATTCTAGCGGAACACATTAGGATTTCCTAGGCTGGAACTTGTTTTCTTGACAATCCTATTGGCTATGTTTTTACACATGGTCTAAATTGCTGAAGTACACATTTCCTCACACAGGATTTATAAACACAGTTCATAAAGAAAGACTGGTATGGCATATGGGGATGATTTGTATAATTGGGCTTCACAATGTACTTAGTATTACTGTATCAAAACAGGAGAAATCCAAGCACACTATTAGCTAATTGGCCAGAATATTTTACAAATGACAGCAACTTCCACCATGAAGCCTACTAAAATGCTCATTTGTGTGTTGGACCCCCAAATGTTAAATTAAATAAAGGCTAATCTCAGTCTGCTGCCATTCCCCTCCAGGTTTTTTACATTTATTTTCACGTGTAGCTGATCCACTGTACTGAGAAGTGCTAGCTTCCTGTTATTAACAATCCAACGTGGTGCAACTGCAAAACAGCCTTCAACATTCTGTGCATTATAAACAGTAGTAACTCACCAAACTAATTGGCTGAAGAATTTACAACTCATTGTTTCTAAACTTTGCTATTCTTTCATGGTAAAAGATAGAAACAGATTATAAAGTAGATCTTAAAACATTTTGTTCATTTGCTGTTTGAATCTAGATCACCCAATTTTCCTTGGATTCCCTTAGAAAACCTTTCTATGTTGGCATGCTCTACGACATCAAAGTACTCAGTTAATTTGTGAGTAAAATTTTCTTTAACAAAGTCTAATCCCTTTTCTGTGGACAGCGTTAGTCACAGTGAACTCTGTCATAATGAATTTCCTAGCCTATCCGTATAACTTTTAATGCCCCCTTCTCCTTTTCTATGCCAACAGAGCAAAAATCCATTTAGATCATACCTTGCACTGCATTCATGCACCATCCATGTCTTGCAAGAAGGTACTCAAAGTACAGCACATCAACAATAAAACAATGTAGGATCATGGCACATCTTACATTCAGTTCAATATTAAAAATGAAATAGTAATGTTACATGATAAGCCATACACATTCCTGAGGTAAAGAATTCTAAAGGAGGCACAGAGTGGCCTTACATTTGTTACTGAGCAGAGGAATAGTCAAAAGGGTTTCCTTTTCCAGATGGGTGGGTAGGAAAATTAGTTAAAATGTCATAATATTCATCAAACTTCCATGCAGGAATGTTACAAATTTAAAGAGAGATTTTTAAATCAACAGGGTGCTTGTGTTAGTTACAGGAAAAGTAATGCTATAATTTCACAAGAGGGTATTTACTTGGATAATCCCTTTTAAACTAAGGGCTCATCTAGACTACGCGGAAGATTCGAAAGAGGATATGCAAATTCCATGGGAATTTGTATATCTTCTTCGGATCTCACTTTCAAAAGAGGACGTCAAAATGCATTTTTTTTGGCAACTCCTCCCCCCTTTTCAAAAAGCCACACAAACCTCATTTTTGAGGAAAATCAGCTTTTCAAAAAAGGGATATACCTCATTTATGAGGAAAATCAGCTTTTCAAAAAAGGGAGGGATTGCCCAAAAAACCGCATCTTGACTACTTTCACTTTTGAAAGCGGAATCCTGCAGAATTTGCATATCCTCTTTTGAATCTTCCATGTAGTCTAGATGAGCCCAAGAGTCAAATACCTTTTGTTATTATTAAACATTACAAAAAGTTCTCACCAAAATGCTCAGCAGCAAATTATTGTCGAGACTACTTGTACAAATCCAAGCTGTGTGTATGTGTAGACAATTACAATTAAGGCGGGGGGGACCCTGCAACATTTCAGGTTTTACAAAACTTCTAAAACCAACCATAACCAGGAGGTGATAGGTGGCACATTGTTTTACAACCTGGCATGACAACTTGAAACTGCCTTTGAGAAAGTAAGATCAGTGAGGTTCTGTCATTCACTATCTTTATGCACAGGATCTAGCATAGCGGATTGCTATTCTAGGTGCTACTGTAATACAAATGTTAAGCAATAATTATTACGTGCTAAATGTTGAACCAGTGGCCAACTGCTTTTCTGTTGTGTTCTGGCAGGTCAGTTCTATGTGAAATGTTGAGCTTTCTCATGTGTATTGGGGTGCTTTAAATTTCAGGGTTATATGCTTTGGGATTAATAGAGCCATATGTGCCATGATGCACCACAGTGTAAAAACAACACAAATTTTATCGAAACATAACTTTTTTTTCCAAAATAAGAGAGTTCATTGACTGAGATGGTCCAAAATATTGAGGGAGAGATCTAATTCAAAATGCAGCACTTCTGGATGTACCAATGGAGTAGCTGAAAAATCAAGCCAGACTATATTTGCCCATCTTACACTGAATGCCGCGTATATAATGGTGCCCAGAAATCTGTGTGGGAACCTGAACATCATGGTCATGCAGGAGTATTGAATTCAGAGACTCGGATTTTGCATCCTTTGCTCACACTGACACGTTGGGGGCAAACGGGGAAGAATCTGTGCTAAAGAATCTTCAGATCAAATCCTGTTTCTAGGCAAAGGATATGGACTTTGCTGTAACTGTAGGAAGTGTTATTTTACTATCCCCGGGCTCACTGCAGCCAATATTTTTAAAATTTCACTGATTTTGTGATTCAGTTTTAGGGTGTTCCTCTTGAAATACTTCGCTGATTTTCTGAGGTGCTGAGGATAAATAGCTTAGAATAAATAATACCTTTCACTTGTACAGCACCTTACATGCAAGGATGTCAATGTGCTTTTCAAGCCTTAACAATTTTTAACACCTCTTGGTTAAACAGTGTGTGGAAGAATGGGTCTTCTGATGTAAAGAGCTTTGTACATTTATGACAATATACATGATGAATAAATAATAAAAAATGCATATTACAGTCTGATGTTTCAAAGGATCCTAAAGGAATAGTACACCCAAACCACTGATTTTCAATAGGATTTTGGCATCTATTAGACTCCTTTGGAAATTTCAGTCATAATACTCATGAGTTAAGTAATGCACAAAAGGGTTAAGTGATTTGAAATATATTATAAGAAATGAATACATCAACTAAATACATTTTTCCCAGGTCCAAGAGAGGGTCCATGGAGAAACCAGAAATAACATTTAGAGGCCAATTCTCTGCTCTATTCTCTCTCTTTCTCTCTCTCTGCACATTTGTGAATTGGTGCTATGGCTTCACTAGCGACCAGGATGAGTCCATCAAATTAATTTTCACTCATTACCTGATTGGGATTTGAATCAGAGTTTCTAGAAGTGACTATCAGTACCCTGATCCATCTAGCCACTGTTACTGGACAACTGGAGAAACATTTCAAATTGAACCCACCACTTATGGAAGCTGTAAAAGAAGGAATAACTTTCTGCTTTTTACTGCAATCTCCCAGTGAAATACACTGCTCCTTTCTTTTTAATCCAGATTCAGTATGAATTCAATTTATTATTTATATTGCTCTAGAACCTGAGACTCTTAGTTATGGACCAACAACGGATGGGGTGGGGGAAAGGAAGAGAGAACCTGCCCCAGAGCCAGTGATTCAAAAGGGCCTGGGGCTCCTGGTGGCCACCACTGTTACTGCAGCAACAGTGGCAGCCAGAGCCTGGGCCCTTTAAATCACCTCCAAAGTCTCTTGTGGTGTTCTCCGGGCAGCGCTGAAGGGCTAGCATGGGGAAAGCTAGCCCTAACCCTGCCCCTTTTTCCAGAGGCCCCGCCTCTTGCAGGAGAAAGGAGGCCTCCCCCACACCTGGTTCAAGGCCTGGCATTTCTGTCAGTCCTCTGGTGGACCAAGGACCCCATTGTGTTATGTGCTGTAGAAACAGATTAAAAAAATGTCCCTGTCCCTAAAGGGTTTACAATCTAGGGGTAACATGAGACAAGAAATGGATACTGTCAGAGAGGTGAGGCAGTGCAAGGAAACAATACTGGTCAGCATGGGAGGCAGCGCCAGCAGCATGACCATTGTCCAGTTTTTTGCAGGAAGGAATGAAAAGGAAAATTAGAAGGGTGTGTAGGAAACATGAAAAGCAGGTGTAAACCCACCTTGTGCACCGGTCCCTGGGTCCATCAAAACCAACCTCTCTGAGTTCCCCCCACTAGGACAGATGCACTGCTTTTTCACCTAGTCACTCACATTCTGGGTATGACTACACTAGCCCCCTAGTTCGAACAAGGGAGGCTAATGTAGGCATTCAAACTTGCAAATGAAGCCTGGAATTTAAATATCCTGGGCTTTATTTGCATGTTCCCATCCGGTCGCCATTTAAATGCCACTAGTCCGGACTAACTGCCGCAGCAGTTAAACGGTAATTCGAACTAAATCCTTAGGTAATTTGAACTAAGTCCTGTTAGGTAATTCAAACTAAGGACTTAGTTCGAATTACCGTTTAACTGCTGCGGCAGTTAGTCCGGACTAGTGGCATTTAAAAATGATGACTGGACGGGAACATGCAAATAAAGCCCGGGATATTTAAATCTCGGGCTTCATTTGCAAGTTCGAATGCCTACATTAGCCTCCCTATTTCGAACTAGGGGGCTAGTGTAGACATACCCTCTGTGTCCCCTTCTGTGACCTCTGTTTCCAATATCCCTCTTCTGCAGCTGGTCAGAAAACAGACATTTTTAAGGATTTGGTTTACATTACATTTTTATTTTGTCAAAATGTCTCTCGCCTTCTCTCTCTGCTTTGTCCCGTCCTTCCCCCACCTGGCTGTGGGCCTGATTCTCCTGCTTTGCCATCATGATCCTTGCCCTAGTAACTCTGTACTAGGGCAGTGGAGCAACTGAGGTAGAAGCACTCACTAGCCAGACTCCTTTCCCTGTCAATCTAGCACCTCCTGGTGGGAGGAGGAAAGGACATGTTTGCAGACTTAAAGCAGTACAGGGTGCAGCCATCACAAC